CCCCAAAACCCCAAAACCCCCTTTACATATTATTTTGTCAATTTCGGATTATAGCTCAGTAATGTAAGCATTATTTATTTATCATAAGATATAAAATGGAATCATAGATTTAGCTTGGGAACATTCATCATGACCCAGAGATGTAGCAATAAATCAGTAAGTATCAGATAGACTTAATTTACTACTACAGGCTTCAATAAAATGCATAAATCTCAAACAGAGTCGAATGTGCAAGAAGCCTAGAAGCCAAATTAATTGTACTACAGAGTAAGAGAAGGCGATTCTATTATAAGGCTGTCATTTATGTTCAACATTAAGATCAATCATCTGTAATCCATTAATGACCTATCCAGTGATTATATTTTCCCTGGATAAGTACTGAAGATTATAAATCACAATCCTGAAAATCAGCACTTACTTATGACTCAAGAATAACTAGATAGTGATTTAACTAAAGACCTTGACAGCTTTGGTAGTGGGGGAGATTCCTAGATCATACACAGTGTTTCTGAAAATAATCTGAGTGATTCTAGATCTACAGACATGAAATCTCAATCTATCTATTAAGCTAAAAAGACAGCTGGAAACTTCCTGCACGTTGATACCAAGAATAAGCAATAGAGAAAAGGATCAGGATAAATGAGTCCAAATAGAACTAAAGTTTTGACTTAGGATGATATCACTAGTGAATTCTAAAAACTTCAAAGTACAATACTTGTTTTTATTACATTAATAGTGGGCTATAAAAACATGCAGGAAAGTTTTCAAAATGCCTCAAAAAAGGAGGAGAATGATCTTTTAAGACTATTTGGGAGATTGACATAAGCAGCTGGAGCTGATAAGAAAATCTCAGAGATTGATAAAATACAGCTTTAATACTTTATTGATCATTAGCCAGATAAAATTAAGAGTAAGTCATTTACTTAATGCTAATTAATAAGACTCTCTAAATCACAGTTTAAATTAGGTGAGGGTTATTACTGTACAAAAAATGGTAAAGTGAAGGGTGTTTTTACACTAACTGAGCATCTAGTAATGTTTGACCCCATAAAGTGTGCAGAAAATGATGAATTTGTAGCAAATATTTACAAGGTTTTATATTATGTTTTAGAACTCTGATCTGCAAAAGTATCAAGCAATCATTGACATTCAAGACATAGCTTCTTGCTAGAAGATAAGAACTGAGAACTAAACAGCATAATTCATACAGGATCCTGAGGTGAAGAAATACTATAAATATGACTACTTCATTCAAATGAATTTGCTAACAGTGGATGGCCTCAATCTTGTAAAGGTCATGAAAACTTTGTCAGGCTTGCATGATGATGATAGTGGCAAGAAATTTGATCACTTACCTCTGATTGAAGAAAAAAAGGAAAATGATAACTCTATGAAGCATAAAGCTTATCATAAGAAAGGAGTGGTTCCTATAGCGACAACATTCTTCAGATTTTCGCATAGAGACAAAAGCAACAACCCTCTTAGCAATAAAGCCTAGAAGATCATTGTAGAGGATATATACTAGGCACTCTTGAGATATATAGAGAAGAACTCTTTGATTCCCAGAAACGAAGATGGAAGTTCATCGACTTCAATTCAATTTTATGATTCCTTAGACCATGTTGAGAGATAAAGCTAAGTTGATAGCTTAAAGCATGTATAGCACTATGACAAGTCAACTTTTGTCAGTAAGATTTTATATAATTTTAATCTGCTATACATTAGTTTCTGCCTCCTTGCCAGAGTTCTAAACCATCATGAAAAACAAATCTGAGATCATTGATGAAGCCAGTAGAAAGCTGATTGCCTACTTCTTGCCAGGTTTGATAAGAATGAGAGAATGGCGCTTATTGTTCTCAATCAATCAAGATGGAGTGAGCATGCAGACGTTTTACAATTTAGTCAGAAATCGTGACAATACACTTTTGCTTATCAAAGATTTAAACGATAGAGTTTTCGGAGGATTTTGCTGTGAAGAATGGCGAATCAGAAATAGTTTCTATGGAATTGGTGAGAGCTTTGTCTTTTATTTTGATGATGAGGAAGATATTAGAGTATTCAATTATACAGGAGCTAATGAAAGAATTCAATTTTCTGATGAAAAATGCATCATGATAGGTGGCGGGAATAGCGCAGCCATATTTATCAACAATCATTTCCACAGTGGCAGATCTGGGAAGAGTGAGACATTTGACAATGAAATTCTCTCTAAATATGGGGATTTTACTTGCAAGTAATTTGAGGTTTGGGGTTTCGACATTATTTGAAGTTTAAAATAATGTCAAGAGAGTTACAAAGGTTGAATGGATAAATATCAAACAATCCGCAAAATATCTATTAATTTCATAATTGTTAAGTAATGTCATTATTAAAATTGACAAATGGGGTTTTGGGGTTTTGGGG